CCCCCCCCGGCCCGTATATTGACACGCCGCGTCCGAAAAATGACCATCCGACGGGGAAACCGACGCGACGAGAACGTGTGATAACGCAGGCGGACGGATCGGCCGCTTGTGATTCATGGACATTGGACACCGGCGGTTCGCGATACGACGTTCCGATAGTTTTCGGCGGCCGTGTCGATTGGCGAAACGTATGCGCCGGTACACGGTATTGTTTTATGCGAACGGCCGGCTTTGCGGTTATGATCGACGCGTTTACGCCGGGCAAATCGCGAAATCGTTACGCGGACGACCGAAATAAAGAAGAAAAAAAAAAAACGTATGACAGCGGCCCTTGCGGCGGAACGGGTAACCCGACTCGCGACCGCAATGCAATTTTATTTTGCGCGTCTATTTCGGATTCTGAACGAGGCGAGGGACGCATTGGTTTCACGCAACAGTGTGTGTGTTTTTAGGTCATTTTTTTTTTTTTTTTTTTCCGATATCGGTCTCTATGAATATCGGGAATTTCGATTTTTGTCGCGTTCCGGTTGAAAACATTCGCAGTGACAGTGACGTGGTAAGAATTTGGAAAACATTTATGTTTTTATTCTCGTACGACGACGTCGGGAAATACGAAACAGGCCTTATTCTAACGGGCAGTAGGACCCAAATCGGGCTGTAGGAAATATCGAAAGTGCAGTTGGCTTCATGAATGTAGGGCGCTTTATAAAAAAAAATAATTTTTCTTATCGTTGAGAATGATTGAATTCTTACTGGGTATTTGTGCCAATTTATAAATGTGCCTTGTAACTAAACCAGAGTCGCGCATGTTTAATTTTTGAGCGTCCCGTAGCGAAAATGAATCATTTTTTCCCCGACGTGTTTTAAATGTATTTTTGCTTATCGGTTTACACACCATGCGATTCGTACGCCGCGATTGTGCCGCGTTTTGTCTGCAGTTCGTTCATTATTACTGCTACTGTATTTCGTTTTTCGATTCCATTTTCTTCGTTCGATTTTGTTTATTATTTTTTTTTTTTTTTTTTTTGGGGGGGGAGGAGGGTTAGCATTAAAGTCAACACGAATTTCATAAAAACAAACTTTTCAGTGTATTTCGGGCAGCAGATAAAAGTCCATAGAACAAGCCCCGATACGAAAAACCGCATTTTTTTCCCCGCCGGAGGAACGGCGGCTGATTGTAACGCGCGCTCTTGTTGTAACGTGTGTGTATGTACGTACACGCGCGTACGCCGATGATAACGCAGGGTGCTTGTCGACCGGCGCGCGCCTTTTTAAAGGGTATGAAAAGAAGATTTAACGATTTATCTATCGGCGGAGCGAAACGCCGTGCGACCGGCACACGAGTTGCGCCCGGGCCAACAGGCGCTTGCCGAAATGTACGCGCGCGGGACGCGGCACAGGATAGCGGACCTATTTACATGAATTTATCGCGGGAACTCTCCTGGGTGCGGACGCCGCCGCCGTTCGCGATACCTTTCACGCGGTCTTATTGGCTTATCGGAGCGTTTTAAATTCCGCGCGTGTCGGATAATGCGTACTGTCGTCGCGCGGGCGTTATAGGTGCAGGCGGCAATATCAAATTGTTTTTCAGACCATGAGCGTGGCGGGGATTATATTGGTTTTGAAAAGACGCGCGAGCGTGCTGCTGGTTTTTTATCCGACTGACAGTATTTTTCCACGGAAATGTCGTTCCGATTTCCATTGCGTGATATTTTCTGCAATTGTATCCAGATGATGTATTAGTGACGAGTAACCGTTTTTTTTTTTTTTTTTTTTTCGTAATTCCGTTAAAAATAATTTAATAGAGACATGCATGTTTCGCAGAATACTCGTGTTTGCAGACGCGATGAAGTTTTCAAAGCATTCTATCGATTTTTCCGAGATGTACGGAACTCAAATTATTTACTGCGATGCATAACTGAATTTCGCTCAGGATCGTGTTTCGTTAACAATAGTTTATTGTTGTTTACAGAAAAAAAATTAAATAATTTTACTCGTATCTTCCTAACTTTCCGTTTACATCGCATCCATTAGCAGTATCAGCTTTTTTTTTCAAAATGTCCAATGTGAACAACTTTTCCACTGGGAAACTCGAATATATACGTATCAGAATGCAATCAAAACAATATTTTGAGTTTAATTTTACAGGTAGATTTATCATAAATATTATATTTCAATATCGCGTTTAAACGCTATTCACAGAACGATCGATACTATCAGAAGCATAATAATAATTAGGTATACGTGTCATAATATATAATCTAAGTTCGTTACTGATATTATATATATATATAACGTTCCACGTTCTTGTCAAAAAAAAAAAAAAAGAAAAAGAATGGTTAGGACGACAGAAGTACACGACTGACGAAGAGCTAAAAAAAAAAAGTGAATGATTCCGCTAGTTGATCAGTTGAGAAAAATTGTATAAGAAAATCACAGGAAAACTCGTAAAAGAATATGCGTCAAGTGCCTTAATTTAATGGGCAATTATTTAGAGAACCAGCCAAGGAATATAGTAAATATATAAAATAATGAAATAGTTAATTTTAATTTAATCTTAATTGTGTATATGCTTTAAACGGAAGTTGAAATAAAAAATAGCCTACGTATTTTACAATTAAAAAAAAATTCGTTTTAATTAAATTTTTAAAAAAAAATACAATGTTAAACTATAGACCTATCAACCTGTAAATAGATCCTAGCCAGAAAAAAACATGAGGGTACCTCGAGTGACTGGAAAAGATAGCTAGAGTACAATCTTCTATGTTTGTCTATTCTATACACGACACAACAGACTGAGGAATGACCGGCGCACAGTCTAATAAATTGATCGATGCGTAAACAAAAAAAAAAAATGAACACACAGTGCACGCGACGAATAACCGTTGCTGACAAAAAACAATTCTGAGCGGAGTTCGGTTGATAGTGTGTTGCTTTGTCAACATTATATGTGTCGTATTACAAGAAAATAATTGCATACGCATTATATATTTTCTTTATTAATATTTGTCGAATATTGTACCGATTTTCCAATCCTGGGAATATCGAAAAATGACCTACCCAGAGTACCTTTCCAGTCAGATTTCGCTCGAGAAAAAGTGCTATCGTTATAAACCAGTGCGAAATTGCCGGTAGAAAAGTTGTTCACGTACGATATTAATAATTACTCCGATTTCGATAATAAAATGCACCGCATAGATATTTTAATTTATTATTGAATAATATTTCTATAGGAACGTTGTCAAATATCGAACAAATAACGATTGTTTTTAAAATTTATTTTTATTACGTCAAATATTATGTCCGTCGCATATGAACACTGTTAAAATAAATATTATTGTAATTTGTTTTGTTTTTCTATATTATAATTCGACTGATCAAAACCACGACTAACGCCGTCATGTCTCTTGTACAACAATTACCACCGTCGGCCAAATCGAATGTTTCAAGATTACCGTTAATGTCGACCAAATCGAATTCTACGAGAGTGTCGTTACCGTCGGCCGACAATTCGTTCAAAATCTCCAAATCACCATCGACCAATAGTCTCAAACAAACACCGTCGTCAGCTAATAGTCTTAAAGAAAAAACTTCGTCAACCATACGACTCACAAAGTCGTGCGGCAGTTTGTTTAAAAATTCATTCGGTTGTTCTTATACCGCAGCTTGTACTAAGTACAAAACACGCCCAGCACAGGGTGTGCGAATAAACTCTGGAGCCAATTCCATTGAAGTGTGGGGCGACCGTTTGAGATGTCCAGATTGGCAAGCCGCGATGGAGACGCTAAGCGCTGATATCGATACTCACCACGTGTGCATAAAAAATCGACGAAATCAAGACAACAATTCGCTGAAAAATTATGAAACGTTATCCAGCGTCTTGAAAGCACCTAAGTGAGTTGTTACTCAATCGGGACGTAGTTTTACATAAATCCGTAAAGATAGTTAATACTAAGTGAATCATAGACATACCTATTTCACTTTAAAAAGTATAATAAAGTTAAACTAGTTAGTGGAACTTCTCTGTTTAACTTTTTTATTCAGTATACAGAAAACAAGCAAGCTAAGCATTTTTTAAGCGCACACTTGACATCTCTGTGACGTAACATCAATTTCCAAACTCCTCGAAAAAATAAACAAGTGTCGAACGCTAGTAAAATAACCGGTCATTGTTGTTTTTCAGGACCGTAGTGGCATCATGCACGTTGTTCGTGGTCCACCTGATAGCGAATTCCGTGTACGACGTACTAGTCAACTCGCACGTGCTAGTCTGCCTGGAACTGCAGAATATCCTGTTTGACGATCAGGCGCTTGAAATACTTTTTTCTGGCATTAAAGCCAGCCATACGCTACAGCACCTTTCACTGTCCCACTGCCGGATCGGAGACGCGGCGTGCCTCAACTTGTGCCGGGTGCTCCGGGACAAACCCAACATCCGGTCTATAGACCTGTCGGGGTGTTCTCTGAGTTCAGTGGCCACCACGAACGGACTGGTGGAAATTGTCAAAAAGCAACAGGTCAGACGGAACGAGGAATGCTGGACGCACTCGCTCCGGTACAGATCCGCCAACCCGGACATCATGCACGGGTTACGGAGGCTAACGCTGAACGACAACACCGGGCTTGGGGACGACGGCGTGATCGACCTGTTCGAAGTGCTCAAAGACGATCTGTTCATCAAGGCGATAGATCTGCAAAACTGTGGACTAACGGACCGCAGCGGCCGGGTGGCACTATCGATGTTATTGATCAACGACACGCTGGTCTTGTTGGACGTCCGGAACAACGACGTCATATCGGCTGCGGTACTGGAATTTATCATGGCCCGGTTGCATCAGAACAACGTGAGCAATTCCGAGACGGAAGAATGGAAATGGACAAAACTCTGGCGGGAAAATATGCAGGTCGAATCGTCCAGCGTACTTAGTGTTATATCCAGAAAAAGTTCGAAAACAAACACTCCAATAGAATAATAACATTATTTTTTTTATTCACAATTCATTTATTTTCTGCGTTTACGAATAAGTTCAACTATTATTTAGAAGGAATTTTTAAAATATCTTGATATAGTCATGTCGAACATTGTGCAACATTATTGGAATTGTATTATCAAACTTAGAGGAAAGTTTAGAGGAAGAAATTATATTATTATCGATCATTTCGCTAAAAATTGTTGTTGTTCACAATTAAAATATAAGACCGTGATATTTCACTAATACATTTTGTATGTTTTCCCATTTTTTCTCAGATTTTCCTGGTTTTTTTCTGTTTATCGGGAAAACTCCAGGGAAAATCAAAAAAATAACCTTCTTAAAGTGCATGGCCTAACCTCACCCTACCGTTCGTTTAATTCGTTTCAAAGAAAACCGTCTGGTATAACAATTGTATTCATTGTAGTAATTTATAGACATAATACGTACGACCTACTTTTAGTTTAAAAATAAACACCCGTATATTTGCCATTTTTGAATAATTGAAAAACTTTCATAACTACAACATTATTGTTATATTGTGTTATGGTAGCGCATGGTAATTATATACAACAGATCACTTTCGCGTTCGCTTTCGTATAATTTTCCACCTAAACTTATGAACCGAATCCTACATAATCTGTCCATGTACGTGAACAAAGTTTGCTTGTTAAACTATATAATGTATTCTAATATCTAAATTAGTTTTACATTGTTTTCGCGATTAATTATGGTTTGTACATTTGCGTGGGCCCGAATACGAAACAAGCAGTGAAAACGTAAGTGCAGCGCAGTGAATTCCGCCGAAGAAATTCAACGTGTACCGTCATATCTGATGTTAGTTTTTGAAATTCGTTAAAACAACTTTTGGGAACACAAAAAAATATCTCTAATATTGTGTGGGCGGGCACTAAAAATGTGCATCTTTTTAGGTACCTACGATGTGTGAACCATTTCGCATACATTAACTATAATCGAAAAAAAGTGTTTTCTGAGAAGAAAAAAAAAACCCATATTTGTTAAATTCTTCTAATATTTATGTTATGAATTATTTAATAGCAGTTACGCCACACTCTTATCGTTTTCCATTTGACTGTACTGACTGCACTTATAACGTGCCAAACAGTTACTGATAATCGTATTTTATTGCGTGCCAAATGGAAAAGAACATATATAAGTTTTTTTTTTTTTTATCATTTCAACTTTTTTCATAATCATTTGTATTTTTAGATAAGTGATTATTGCGCGTAATAATTTGTATTATCGTTGTCTATGCGACTAACATGCAACGGTCTAATTATTATCGTCACTATCGCTTGACGATAAAGAGTCAATTAAGTGAATTGAGTGTTTTATTTATACGTATTCATTGTTATTGCTTTTTTCGAAAACGAAGTCGCGTGAACGGCATTCGACAGCGTTGAGAAATGAGAACAGTAGAACACATATCAATAAAACGTATCGATTATTTTATTGCGTGCATCGTGTTATCGACTATGCGATTAGACCGACCGGCCTCTGGAGTTCGCGCATCTTATTTCAGCACTAAGGACGAAAAACCGCCGTCGTACTACAATCAAGTGGAACGTAAAAAAAAAAAAAAGGCAACCCGAAACCCGCCGGAGTTCCGAGTGGGACATAAAAAACGTGCAGCCACGCGGAAAAAGCTATTTGAATCTGAAACACGAAAATACCGCGAATTGTTATTTTATTTATCGGGCACCAAACACGTTATAATAATTATTTCGTTATTCGAGCGAAACGGCACCGGGAGAGTGTAAAATGTCCGCGGAAAATTAAGGACGGTTATTTTTCAGCGACGGTATTTTGTGCGTGACGCGAAAAGAACGGGACGCTTTTAATGCGGAAATCCGTGTATGGTATTTGCATACAAATTGATTGTCACCGCCACGAGGCGACAACGAACTTTATAATACCCACCGAATTATGTATAAGCGTATGTTGTTTAATTACGTTGTACGTCAGACCGCGCCACCGATTTAAAACCGGTGTTGGGCAACACTGCTACCGCGCGGGGCTGATCGAAAATTTACGATTTCGGAATATTTCCGAACCGTTTATCGTAACGCGTTAATTAAAACGGTCGTCCTGACGCGGGGAAACATTTGATTTTTCACCGTTCAGGCCCGGTCCGCGCGATGAAACGGTATCGTTACGATCGCCCGTAATACACGCGTACACAATATTGTTACATGTGTCGCAGATACGTAGCACGCGACAATGGCATAAATCGGAACGGGTATAACACTTATAAGAGTGACGGTAGAGGACGCGATGGTAATATTATGGTACAGTGCATTGTGATAAGGACGTCTGCGAGAGTGCGACGCGACAGTGCAAAACGTAGCGGTATAGTTGTACGTGTGTACACGACGGTGTAGCGACTTGCGCCCCCTCGCAGTCTTACGGTACCTTACAGCACCTATAACTGTCAACTATATCGCGATTTGTGCGCGATAGTACGCGACAGTCGCTATTGGTTATACTGTATAGCTCTGTTTACGCTTTTCGGTATAGGAGTCGATGATAGTGGTCGTAGTGCATATCACGCGGTAGAAATGTTATATTTTTCGATTTTTCTTTGCGGTTTTCTCGGCAAATGGGAAACACTGGCGATTTTTTTGTGGATTTCTGGGTAACGAGGAAAGAATAACGATTAACAACACACTGCTCAGAATCGGTTTTCGTTCGCAATGGTTTATCGTTGCGTCGAATAATTACTCTGTATATTTTCCGTCCTTTAAACTTTTCTCTTAAAGCAGCCACACGCCCAACATGAGCAGTATTAGCTTCTTTTTTTTTACATTTGCGCCGGGTGTACCTATATAATATTTCAATTACGCCTATTTTAAATGAATCAATGTTTAAACCGAAAAAAAAAACTAAAATAATGCGAATTTACCACACACGGGTAGTCGTTATAAAGTCGGTTTGACAAATCGTACTAAATAAAAGTCAAACAAATATTTTGTTGGTGAATAATACGTTTCAGCGGATTTTTTTGAAATATTATAAAATAGTCACCATCAATCATGATAAATAAAATGAGTCTATACTCATATGTATTTTATATTTTATTTAGGCACGCCGGTGTTATAACTTACAATATGCATTATACTTATAAACCTTCACATAGACATGCAGATCCAACAATATGTCATTTTTATGTCATAAAAAGGGTTCATTTTGTACACTGTTCGAATATTCGTAGCAAATAATATATTACATTGTATTTATTATTATTATAATGTTTTCGAAAAATGTGTGGAAAAGATATTATGTGCATTATTTTATGCAAATATTACGCGCGTGACGTATATATTTTTATTTTGTTTGCTAATACTATATAATATCGTGTTATAAAAAAAAAAAAACCCTCTTTCATGGTTTACTTAAAACCGAAAAAAAAACCACGTATTTTGGAAAAGTATGAAGAATTATGTACATACATCATCACGTGTATTGCATAATATTAAAATATTTGTTTTTGATTCCCCTTCGTCTTCTATATATTGGCTTTTGACAGTACCTACACAATAATACATGATTGATATTGATGGATAGGTTTTCCAGCGAGTAACCGACTCCAGGCACTAGTAAATTAATACAAACAACCAGAACGATATACACAACGATATCGAATTGAGAATTGAATCAAGATACAAGGGACATTATGTGCTGAGAAAATGGTTTTAATCGAAATTCTTTAAAAAAAAAAAAAAATATACCTATGTTCTACGTGCAATATTAACTTGGGGTTTGAAACTTGGTCGATAACTAAACGAGACGAGATAAAAATGAACATAATTGAAAGAAGATTACAACGCCGATATGTGTAAAGAATGGACAATGTAGAAAAAGAACATTACCAAATTTTCAGTGTATACCCGAAAAACAAGAGATTGGATTGGGCTGATCGTAAAACGTAAAAGTTTGAAGATATAGCAAACGACATTTCTACCGGGAGTTTGAATTTATAGAGGATCAGGAGTCACCCTAGACAGATATGGGTGGACTGCGTTAAGTGCGTAATCTTGCAGAAATTTTCCAAGGAACAATAATAGAAGACAGCGACGACAGAAATAAGTCGGGAGAGGTGATCGAAGCAAAAAAAGTCTTTCGTGGACTGTAACAACCGACGGAAGAAAAAGATTTGTGCTGCAATCTATATATATAAATTCCAAATACCACTGACTCACTGATCGCTGTATCTCAAAAACTACTTAACGTACGCACTTGAAATTTAAAATAGAAGATCCTCTGTCACTTTCACCGAGCAATAAGAAATGATTTTTGAAAATTCAACCCCTAAGGGGGTAAAATAGGGGTTTTCAGGTATATTTGGTACGAATATTTAATTGCTTATTTAATTATTTTTGTTTATTCAACGGTTACTTCGGTCGGTGTCACGGAAAAGAAAACTATTATTTGCACTATTAAAACTTCACAATAGAACACATTTAGTCCGCCGAAGGTAGACTACCCACTTTCCACATATTTGTTTTCATTTAGTTCTGACACTGCAAAAACCGAAAATTAATACGGGTAAAACAATAATAATAAAAATTGGCACAGGCACGGATGAAATAAAAACAAATTTAAAGGTTGGTAACATGGATGAAAGAAAAAAAACCTAGTGAAATATAAAATAATATTAAACATATTTTACGTTAAAAAACTTTCCACGTCTGAAGCCGGGTAATACAGCTAGTAAATTATAATCCGACCGGTACAAATACGATAGCCGATAAGGCCCACGTTGAGACACTCGACAATCGAAAGGAGATTTGAAATAGGTACATGACCCGAATCATAAAGTATACGAATAATGCAAAACTCGAGGACCTTAAAGAAGCTAGAACAGGGAGGCATAAAAAACTTATAGAAACATAGTTTTTAGCAGAATAATCCGAGGATTATTTTTTTTTAAAGCACACATCTTTGTAATACCAATGCAATTCTCGCTATGATCAGGATCTAAACTATATCGTATTGTTATATAACCGTTGATGATTTCGAGTATATATTGTAGAAGACGATTTTTTTTTGAACATATTTTTTCCCGAACAACCATCATATGACCGGGCCATATAAGCATAAAACCAAACATAAATAATGCGTCCATACTTTACATTATGCAACAGGGGCCATGTGCACAGTATTCATTTTACTGATAAACATAATCAAAATATATTTCAGTGAAACTTTATAATCTAACTATAGCTATAGTACAAATGTAATTATACGTGTAACGGTGCTTGATATAACATAAGACACGGACGCCGTCGTCCGTTTCATTATACGATTTCGTTTAAATGTATAAATTATACGTATAGGCGAGTAAAAAAACGTTGGGAAGATAGGATATATTATAAAGTTGTTTAATTTGTATTTGTACGCAACGAGTTGAGTTAGGTTATGGTGCATGTTTTTAAATTCTGTAATTGTTACGGTTTTGGTAAAAATTCTATCTTAATTTGATTAGGTTCAAATGTACATTCATTACAGCTCTGCAAAACAGTTTCATTCATATTTTTTGATTTGAGCAAGATTTCTGGTAGAAAAATAGCGCGTAGTTACAAAAAACTAAATAAGCACACATCGCATAGTAAAACCAATACATTCCTCGGTCATCAAAATGCATTTTTTATCATCAGGGGCAAATGCTGGTAAGTTTTTGGGACAGGAGGGGTTGGTTGAACAAATATTGTCTTTGTATTGCTGTACATTTATAACGTACGATATAATATATACATGTTTTAATTACACAAATTATAGAGTACTTTATATAGTGTGGGGTTTAACTTCCCCTCTTCGTTCGTCTTTGGTTACTATATTATACCGTATAATTCTAGTCCGTTTAAAAAAAAATATGCAATGAAATAAATGTAAATTTAGTAAACGTAAAAAAAAAAAAAAAAAAAAAAATGCTTTAATGTCTCGCCAATTTGTCTTCGTTGCCATCAGTTTATACGAGTAATAATTATATTATTATTATGACTCTGATGTGAACATCTGCGTTTCGAGTCATGATTAATCACTTCGTGCAAAACGTAATATTACTACCAATGCAATGGCTGCAGTTTTAACAAATATTATTGGATAAACAGAGACTGTGAAGAATAAAATACATCAAAATATTACGATACCGAAAGGAACTCGTGGTTATAAAAAATATTTTTCGTGAAAATTTAAATTAAAAACTATTATAAACTACGTGCTATTTAAATTATCACCCTGTATATACCTACATAATAATTAATGATTTACCGTACTTTTTTAACGAATTTTATCATACATTTATCAAAACTGTCTCTTATAGTACGAAAACTTTTTGACATTAAAAAAAATAGCTTGATTAATATTAGACTTAATATTGTGGCTACGACGATTCCGACTAGTGACGTATTGTTAATTTTTCCAATTTTTTTGAAAGTTTACGATAGTTTAAATATTGTTTTCATTGCTACCACTAAATTATATCAATCAATTCACTAATTCATCAATGAAAAGAAATTATTTTTATGATTTTTGTAAAATTTAAACAATATTCTAGAAACCTAAAGATTTATCATTAATATAAATATTTATATCACCAAAATTTCGTATCGAAATATATGCCCAAACGGTCTGTTGGATTTTGGAAAAATAATTTTTTTGATTGTTAGTAGGCTAAACAAAAGTTAAAAAAGAGCTAATACTGGAGACGGGTGTAGTCACTATTTTAAGTGGATAGTTAGAAAGATCGGATATATACAATTATGTATCTAATTTATAATCGTAAGAAACGATAAACCATTGCCAACGAAAAAAGATTCTGAGTGAAGTTCGGTTAAGCAAATCTTTAAAATAAATTATACCAAAATACATTAATTTATGATACCTACTGAAAGAAATACAATTTGTTCAGACAATTTCATTATATAATTTTATATTTTTAATTATTTAATCGATTTGGATCATAAGTTATGTCAAGTGGATCATACTTAAGTTGATATTAGTTGATAATTCGCGTTTAACAGCTTGTACAATTTTTATTGAATTTAGATTTCAATTTTTCACGGCAACAACGGTTGATCGAAACCGATTCAAATGTTTAAAATAATAAAAAATTAATAATTACTAAAAAAATACAAAATACACATCATGTAGCAAAACCAATAGATCACTCGCATCGTTCGGAATCAAAAACACGAACGCGTCACGGTGTGAATCAGAAGAATCGCGTGACCCGACAATAAAAAAAAATAATAATAATAATAATAATAAACGAATAAAATGAAAAAATACTAAAAAAAAAAAAAAACTCGAAAATATCGACCGGGACAAAATGCGTTTCGGGTGTCGGCGGTGTGACTTCGTGTCAAGGTCCGCACATTACAATAATAATATTATAATTATCGTCATATAACCCAGACGCCTCCGACAGTTTATCGTACGGACGACTGCGGCGGCGATTAATTATCGGGACGTTTTCGAAAAGGCCGGAGTGAAAATCGCGGTGGGTACCGGGCCAGACGTCGGATATTATTTCCCCGCAGGACCGACCGAAACCGCATAATAATAATAATATTTTAAGTACCGCGTCACGCGTCAAAACGTTCAACCGCGGGAACGGTTATAACGAAATCCGTTTAACGCGCGCCATTAATTACCCGCCCCCTCCCACCCCCACCACACACGCACACACACGCGCACACCCTCCGCCCTACTCGTGTAAACGCGAATATTCCCGCGTGCATTTCGAATTTTGACACTTTCCGAAATCGTCGCGAACACCGGTATTCCGCAGGTATAATACCCGTGACACGCGTCCTATACGAAACGGCTAAACGATAAAGCGTTTTATGTATGTGCACGTGTATAGGGGCGGAGAGTCGGATCACAATTATATTATAAGGCGCTCGTACAACAATACGTATGTGCCGCTGCTATAATTTAAACGCGCGCGTCAGTCCAAATTATCGTTTTGTGCGCGAAAATCGGACGACTCATACAATGGTACGGGGTATTCCGTCGGGGATACACCCTCCGGTGACTTTCGCGGTAGTATTTGAAGTTCGGTAAGCAGGCACGTATACGGTGGGGGGGTGGGTGTTCAAACGCCCCCCCCCCCGAAACGTTTGGTTTTTGTATGACAATTTACTTATTTCATTTCACTGTTATATAATATTTTTCTAATTTTCAATAACTGATTTTCAAATACAAAACTTTTTTCTGCGTACGTCCCTTTCGGTAAGCGTCAAAAAAAACCAAGAGCCGATAATGGAGACGGGCGTGTCACTGTTTTCAGCTAGAACATCGGGAATATTAGGAGGGGACGCGTATAAGGTTATTTGTTTTGCATACCTATCGTGGCGACAAACCATTTGTTACCGAAACACGATTCTGAGCGAAGTTCGGTTAAGCGTGTTTTGTTATGCACAGTAGTTTTCACAACTCTAATAAAAGTCAACGTCTATACAAGATCAATATAAGAATTCTGCGAACATTTCAGGTCTCTACGGTTATTTTTAACAGAATAACATTAAAATGTATATATATATATATATATACATTTTATTACATTTTTTATAATGCGAGGCATTTGTCTTAAATTGTATAGTTCACGGAAAATGTTTACATTTTTGAAAATATTTGTGTAATTATTAGTGGAGGGTTTTTGTTTTAATTAAATTCACAGCATACAAGAGCTCGAGTATCCCATTACAAAAGCTAATAAAAACAAACGCCTGTATATTATATTATACATTATATCTGTGTATATTGTAATAGAGGTGGGAATTTTCGGTCGTTTGAATGATTCGAATCATTTGAATCGAATCGTTCGGACGATTCGGTCAATTGATTCGGTCATTTCGGTCATTTCGGATAGGCGTCTAAATGTATTATTCTTATCATTGGGTGGGAATTGCTGTCAATTCCCACAGTCATTTGAACAATTCGATCATTTGAATCGAATCAGTCAAGCGTGTCCTATAGTAGGCTACTGAAAATAGCGGCGTCAGAGTCGCCAACATTCAAAATTGATTAAATCGTACAACAGTTCCCGAATTATCGAATTACGTGAAAAAAATATCGTTATTTTATTTTATAGACGGTATACCGGTGAAGGTGCCGAAACTACACAATATATAAACTCTTATCGAATATTAAAATTATCCGATATAATATTAGTTTCGTGCTAGACAAGGGAGGACAATGAAACGAATTCGAATTTGTTTAATTTAATAAAATTCTATTAAATCCTTTAGAGCTGGTTTACTCGCATTACTTAACTAATAAATAAATGGAAAAAAAAAAAAAGCGATATTCGAAATAATTGGCAACGCATTATATCATCATGCAATCAACACACTACCTATAGATATTGTGTTCGAGAAACGTTTTTAACCGTATTCGCATTTCGAGCTAACCCCGAGTCCCGAGTAAAAATTTTATTAGACGTGTATCCGTATATAACTGTCACCCAAACGATATGCGATTGCGGGCTGTCCGCCCAAAATGAAAACCGCTCTCCGCTGGTCGGTATACCTATAAAAATAGAGTACATTGCGGTGTACAGGTGTACAATTTAATAACGAAACCGCGCTACGGGAGATATTTACAATAAATTCCTGTATAAGGTCGGCTGTTATCGGGATGGCAATAGGCACCGAAGAAATGTATACTTAGTTATATCGGTATATAGCTACTGTAATCGAATTGGGTCCTGGCGCGACGGTCGAATAACAATTCTGACTGAGTATATAAATAATGTATAAGTACCGATATTTTAGTTTATGTAAGCAGTTTGTAGAGAAGTTATATTATTAGTTTCGCTACGACGTGTCTTCTGGAATTGTTTTGTACGGGAGTTATTCTGCAGTCTTGGCAAATACTTTCGGGGCAATAAACGTGCTCGCAACAAGTTCAACGCAACAACTTTGTAGGTGGATGGGTACGCGCGTCTAAGGTAATTGAACACCGGAGGTAATTGTAGAAACGTTATTTCCCGAGTCTCTTGTAATAGTTTTCGTTGAAATTGAATGAAAAAAAAAAAAAAAACAGCAGAGAAAAGACTACAACGGGAGGGGGGGGAAAGAGATGTTAACTTCATTGTTCCGTCGTACGAAATTAGTTTTGAAATAACCGGGATAAGATATTGGATCGTTGCACTGCTGCGCTGTAGCCGTCCGAAATACCTAGTAGTCGACCCAATAATGTAATTTTATAGTAAGTTTTCAGTAACTTTTTATTTTACACAACAATTTTTGGTGTTTTGCTATTTAAATGGTAATTCCTATGTTTTTTCATTTAAATATACATGTGCATACACGTAATCTACTGTTAAAGTAAACGTTCATTTTTTTTTCTTTTTGGAGAATAATTTACAAAATTACGTAGGCAAGTGCATTTCAAAGTTTAAATAATAACCAGAGTTTTGTTGTGGAATTTCTATATTAATAGGGAACAAAATACTTTCCTCGACGTCTATAACATAAATGATTATGCGATGGAGTAAACGACTCACACGAAAATATAATAATTATGCAAATTAATATGGTAATTTGTTAATGTCTGCTGGCAAATACATTATAATCCGCAATGTGTGCGATATTTGTATTTGATTTTCGTTTTCAGTGACGTATATGGTGGCGTCATTAAGATAGGAGGGAAATTCGTCTATCTAACTTTTAGTATTGTCTTTAAATCGGCATTTCGGTTGATCCTGCGAGCTATTGGTTATGAAAAAAACGTGTCAAAATGTCGGAACATGGTTTGTGAACCTCACAGACAGTTGTTAATTAGTAATCAAGTTTTCGAATTTTTTTTTTTACTTTTGGACTTTTCACACGGCTTTTCATAAATATTTTTAACTTTCAAAATAAAATATATACAATTGAATAGTCTGTACACAAAAACGGCACGAAATTGTGTATAATTTTCATAGTTTCCAAGCAAATTTAAATATCTTAATGCTCATGGATTGATAAAAGTATCCGAGATACAAGTGAATGTTGAGATACAGTTCTGGAAAGTATTGATTGTCTTGTATTTCGATACTGAAATCAACGTATATCGAGTGTCTAGAGACGCATTTTTTGAAATATCTTGCACATAGTCGCTTGAAGAAGGGGAAAACTGAGTCATTTTCTCTAAAGGTTCGTCAAAAACTACCTTGAATATCAAAAGCGAATTTACAGAAATGAAGTGATTTCGGATACAGTAAACGATATTCGTTTTAAGACTGCAGTTTAACAACATAATACTTTACGAATTCAATATCATCGAAACGAAACTATAAATGCCAATACGCGACAAACGTGTAATGGACAATAGCGCGATAATTGAAAAATCGAATTTAAACTATTGACTCGAATTAAAATCTCAATACGGGCCAACCGGTTGGCCATTGGGTGCCATGGCCCACCATAGGTGCTATGGTTTATCACGTTATTCGACGGTTCGATAAGTCTTCGGTTATACTGTCACGAATAGTGTACCATCACGTAAAATCGACGTTTAAAACTATCGTGTTTAAAATGTCAATGTTATACTCGGGCTCGATACAAAACGACGCGCGTGTAAGACGATCAGTTATATTGTGTTAAACGTTCGACGTTTATTTTTATTATTTTTATACAGTTTCGTGGCGTAATATTATTGTTCTGGTTTTCGTTCGTACAGCGGGGAATGATTTTTAATTTTACGATTAACCTATATTGGTTTTGCTATGACGATATAGCGTCTATTCAGCTGTCTGTCAACGAGTTTGTCGACCACGAGTCTAATCGGAAAATGCGAAAATGGCCCGCGTGCAAATTTATCGATTTTACACGTCTGAAAAAAATTTGAAAAAAAACGAACGTCACAGCTAACGTTTAGCATTAGATAATATTATTATCTATACGTTTACTCGATCGTTTTGTAAAATATCATAAAGCGTTTGGTGCTCGAGGATGTTTTTTTTTTTTTTTTTTTTTTTGTCTTTCTTGAAAATTGTTAAAATTTGTACATTGCCAACTATCGAAAACGCGCACAATAGTTCCTTGTACTTTACCCGATAATATGGGAAAAGCGAATAAAAACGTCGGGTGAACGGAATTGTCCACGCGGTACGTTGGTTTTCGTAAAAATCGATAATATTTATTTTGTTGTAATTCATCGAGGCAATAATTAATCGTATAATACACGGATCTGGAATTTTTACCGAGCACAGTTTACAGCATTATCTGTAGATGAATGATAACGACGAACATATTTAAGCTCTTATTGTTAATGTATTTTCCATTTTACGTCGACAAATTATGTTTTTTTTTTTTTGCGTTCAGTATATTATTAAATTAAATGGATATATATAAAATATTTGTATTTCTCCTACACTTTAACATTTCGAACGGAGGCTATTACAGTAATAAATTATTGCGCGCGTGTTTGTTTTGCACTATAGTATTAAAACGTGCATTTCGTTTTCGAAGACTATTCGACCCGGACAACGTTTTACGACACATTTACCGTGTTGTCCTTTTAAAACGGTTTGAGCGCACACATTACGGAACGTCTATTGTACGTGAAAACACAACGTACAAAGTCAAATCGTTTTTAATAATAGTCGCCGAACCTGCAGACCGAAAACGACACTGGGAAATTGTTTAGATAACGGGGTGGTAAGTGTTCTGTGCAAGTAAAATACTAATACGGATTATAGGTACACTGAGTAATTTTTATTTCACTGTCTCAACGACGTCACGGGTACGCAGGCGATCGGTTCCCGCGGTATACTTACGTATCGAATTTGCGACGAAGTAACCTGTTGTGGGTATTAGAAACCACAATGAATTCACGAACGGACGTTATCCTCGCAAAAATACCGCGTATGGGACTTGGAAAAAAATCATTGAAACGCATGGAAAATCGTATACAATAATATAATGTATAATTTAATCGAAGAACAAAATCGCATCTACATTATGTTCTATACCCATACGATCCATTCGTATTCCATTCGGATACGAAAAATCATTTTAAAAATGTCCGTGAGCAGTATCCGCTCTTTTTTTTCCGCGTCAGCGCATTATAATATTTCACGCCCGCATTGATTATAAAATATGAAAGATGTTTCGTACTATAATATTATCCTTTTATCCGGTTCACTAACACCTTACGAATGAAGTTCTCAAAACGTACCCTATTCGCGACACCTTGAGTATAATGTAATATTTGATCCGGTATTTACACGATATAATATTATTATCACGGCGTATCGTTCTGATCCGTATACGACGGGCCGCGAATGGCGGATTCGTCTTTTTAATATACAGGGTGTCCCACAGTGTTGTCCTTTGCCAATAATATTCTGTCGATATTCATTTATTTTTAAGTGGTTATTTTTCCAATCGGAGTTTTTCCGAGGGAAACACATAATGGTGTAGAAACAAATCACATTTTTATTTTCATCCCTTAAACGCTGACAGAAAATACATTTTCATTTCGTCTAACCTTCAAAATAACCATTTTGTAAAATATGCTGTTTAAAAATTATAATCTACCGTGTACTCGTATTTTGTGAATAATAGTTTCTTAGTTACAATGGCTCGTATAACGTATGGAAAACAAACGTGAAAACAAAATAATATTCAATAGAATATAAGGAATAATCATTAACATGCCGACAGTGATTCCTTATCGCGTTATAACTGTGTCAATTTTCTAGAAATTAAAAATGGCTAAAAAACTATTGATCGGATATAATATATGCAATTGAATTTGTTTAGAAAAATATCGTTAATAATAGCTGTTTTGAAAAATGATAAAATAATAGTGTATTTTTTATCTGTCAACAATTAAGGGACGGAAATTAAATATTTGATTTTCCCCTAAATGCGCGCCCCCTCGTTCAAAACCCGATTGGCAAAAAAAAAAAAAAAAAAATTAATATTGACAGAATTATTAGCATAAGTATAACACTATAAAGACACGCTGTATAATAAATGCCAAATCAATGTCTCCGTCGGACTGTAATGTAAATTTAATATTATCCGCCCGTGATTACGTTACGAAACGGGTCAGACTCTGTGAAAAAAACGTGAAAAAAAAAAATTAATAAATAAATACAATAGAAAATACGCGTAACTTTGGGGCAATATCCGTTGTGGGCGTAGTATTTGATTAAACGCGATCCCGACAAAACGTCCGGATCATTCGGCTACCGGTCCGCGTGCCGGAGAATAAGAAAAAGCCTTTTCAACCGGAACGGGGAATGAAAAAAAAAAATAATAAAAAAATAAACCCGAATAAAACGTCTCGGATCGCGACCTATTCGACTACATCCCGCGTAATGGCATTATTATGTGTTTGTACTAAATTATTTACGTCTATGGAACACGCGGCCGAACGTATTATTATTATCGTCGTATCGATCGGAGTTAATCTTTGTTCGCGGTTTACAGCGCGTATTGTGACCCAAGTGTTGTCGCGTGGAGTGGTTCGTACACGTATAGAATACTGTAATATAATGTAATATTAATGCAGTCAGCGTTTATAATATTATAATATGACGTACACTAGGCCCCCGTATATTGGTAAACTGCACTGTACAGCAGTTCTGGCACGCCCGCGATATTATATTATAACGGGGTATAGTTTTTTATTCGCCTCCCCCTCCGCGCCCCCCCCCCCACCGCAAGGTTGTCTTAATAGTCTATGGTTTCCCGTGATAAAAAAAAAAAAAAAAATTCTGTATGCATTTTCAAACGTAGCGCGCGTTTAAGTGTTTACGTTTTCCAACGCATCATTGACGAGCCCGACGACGAATCAAGCAAAGATTAATATATTGTAGAAAGATCGAAAGGGTGGGGGAGGGGCGATTGCCACCCGACCGATTCGTTAGCGACTCAAGTTCAAGAGCCAACTGCCAACTGTTTTCGATCGGAAGTCGCGTAGGGCCTTTGCGTTTTTAAATTCTAAGCGTGTTGGATTCCTCTACGACGTGAACTTCGTCTGTAATTGATTTTACTACCAGAAATATTGTCACAAAGAAAACGCCGCGAAAATGCAGTGGCGGTTATAATTTTTGTTTAATAAGGGGGTAGGGGTAGGCGGTTAGTAAAATATTCAACATGTCTCCCCTCCCCCCGAAAAAAAAATCTTAAAAAAACGTTAAAAATGTCATACCACTAAAAAAAATTAATAAAAATTAAAAAAATAACTCAATCGATAATATAATATGCATATTTAATCCCCGTAACGTATTTCGTATAACAGAAATCATATATATTTACGTTTGTATCAACGTACTTTTTCAAATAAATGTAAAACGAAATTGTAAAAAGTCACGGTTCAAAGGAAAGTTATTTTGGTAGAGGAGCACGGTCCGCTTATAAAAACGCCACTGCGAAAATTTTTGAATTTAAAGACTATTTGTCAAGAAAAAAAAAATGACAATAAAGGACTAACATAATTCGAACGGTTAAGTTGAGTTGGGAAGGTAGAGGGAAAATTTAATGTACATCAACGATTAGCCGTTGTTAACGAAAATCGATGATTCTGAACGGGGTCAGGTGAATAGTATTGTTTCGTCGTATTTCGCAGTGTCCCTTTTTTCAACATTTATCGGGAAAACTTCTGGGAAAATCGAAAAAAAACGACCTCTTTAAAATACCGCCCCATTCGGATTTCATTTCGGAATAAAAAACGCCGCAATCGAAAATCGGATCGAAAATTGCCGGGAGAAATGTTGTTCACGGAAAGAAAATAAAAAAAAAATAAACAGACACCACTGCAGCATATTGCCCGCCGAGTTTGAAACACGGAACGATTTCAATTGTTAATATAATACATACATAAAATGTTTTTATTTTTTTTTTGATAGCTGAAGACTTATAACAGGGGACACTGGTCTTGGGTTTTAAAAATTATATTTCTAAACGCTATAAGGACGTATAAGGTCGTGTAAGGAAAGTCCTAAAGGCGAAATATTGCGATCAAATGTTACAACTCGTAACGGCTGTACCTATGTCTACACAAAGTCTTCAAGTATAATAATTATCGTCGAACGCGTTTCAATTGACGATGGGGTGGGGAGAGGGGGTGAAGCGACGCTAGTTTTATCTGAAACATAATGAACCATATACAATCGTCAAGTTGACGAAAACCTATGCGGTCGTCCGGAAGGAAAAGCGAATTTCAAACTCTATAAATATCTGCCAAGGATAAAAAATCCTCCGCGGTGAATTTAACGTCAGGTCAAGTAGGCCAAATGCGGATATTAAGATGCGGGGATGGCGGAACATGTATTGTTTTTTTTTTTCAATTTTCGCCGGACAAAATAATATTTATTAAGGTATCTAGAACGTATTTAAAATGATTATAATTTTTAAAGGGGGCGGGAAATCTCGACTATTCTGGAAGAGACGGTAAAAAAAAAAAAAATTATGATACGCCGTGAAGACAAATTTATGAAGACGCATAAATCAAGTTTACGTTCTTTTTATGTTTACGAACGATGACGAACCGAACGGGGCTTTTTTACACCCTCTGACTTTTTTCAATCGGGACCCGCGATAGTAAATAAAAACCTGGACGAAAAATTCAAATGTGTTTACGTATTAAGACATATTTACTCTGTGGCAGTCCTGCCAAGACATTCCACGTCAGTCACTGTCACGGGATGTGTACATGTTTACGCGTGTACGCAAATCAATAAGCAGTCGTGACAGATTTCTTCATTTTTGCCGGTTCTCGACTACCCCTAATGCTCCCGACTTTCGTCAGGAATCGTTCGTAATTGTATTTAAATTTAAAAGACCGTATTAGTTTTCTTCAGCCATGTTCCCGAGTTCGGCAAGTACGGATGCAATTCATAATGCGCTTTGAGAAATTCGGTTGTGTCGAACTTGAGTAACGATAACGGCAACGGCGACGGCCGTTAAATTCGCCTCGACAGAATTTACAGCCGAACGATCACAAATATTTCGTAAGCGATGACGGTTGTCGAGAGTGAGCGGCCAAACAGTGATAACGCGGTAACTGCGGTCGAGCACTGTCGCGGCATAGTGCGACAGTACAACAACGCTGTCGAACGGCCTACGCGCCAATAGTTGCGCGACGGACACTGTCGGGTGTCACTGTCACCGCTTGCGTGGGCGCCCGGACAGACGGGGATCCACCCTCCCCCCAACCGCCCTTGGTCTCCAAAATGTCAAATATAATTTTATTTTAAGTATTTTTCGGCGTTTCCGTTTTATTACGCCCCTCTCTGATACACTTCCCGCGAGCGCCCGTTGCCGCGTGTGCAAACGCGCTCCTATCATAATCTCTTACGGATATTTAGCGCCCGTAAAACTGTACATTCTGTTTGCTCGTTGGACTTGGCCAATCGTTATTTACGCACGTACTATAAGTACGACATTACGATTTTCGCGACGTGGTGACTCTATGCGAGCCCCGGCGCAACGCCGAACGGACCATAAATACGGATAAGAACGGATAATTTATTTACTTTCGCGAGAGTAGGAATCCGATATTTGTGTAACGATTAATAACAACGGACGTCAATAGATACTACACGGCGCGCGCGCCAACGGTCGTTTCGGTTGGTTTGTTTATACGCAATAAAAACGAGGGGCGGTCGGACGTGACGGTTTATAAAGCGTGCGCGTTCTCGTACAACGCGTCTATATAAAAATGATTGCGGCGGAGGCGAACGCGAGCGATCGAGCCGACTCCCGGCGGTTAACAGCAGGCGGGAGGGAAGGGGGGGACGCTAAGTCGGAGAAAATTAAATATTTTCGATTTATCGCGGGAAAATATTAGTGAAAACAGACCGGGGAAAGAAATGATTAATAATAATAAAAGTCGGTATAATTTATTAACCTGCGCGTACCGTGTGTACGTGTTACTCTCTCGGTAGTTTCGTTGGAAATTGCTCAATTTTGTTATTCAGCGGAAAAATATTCGCAGAGACTTGAAATTCGGATAGAACACTTATAATTACTTTTTCTAGACGTGGTAAAGTGTTCAAAGGTTTGGGCCATTTTTCAGGTTTTTATAGACATTTTAATTTTAAGAGTTTCGAAATGATTGAAAATTTAACAAGAGGTTAAGAGTGTTACTGTGTAGTCAAAACAAAAAAAAAAAATGAATTTAATGTAGTATTTTTTTTATTTTATAATGGAACTTTAAGATTTAAGAACGATGGCGAAGTCAGAATTAAGTGGACCGACTAAGTTTCGAAATTATAGATTTTTGAAGTTCTGATATTATACGGATATTATATGTTATGTTAAATTTATTGTCCTTCAAACATATTTTTCGCGATCTAATGGTTATTTATGCCAATTATCACCCTAGGGATGTTCCGAGTTTGTACCAGTAAGTAAAAAAAAAAGGCGTTTGCATTTTTTTCCCCTTTCACCTTAAAAAAAAAATGAATTTTAGATGTACATAAAGACCCTAGCCATCACTCACTCGTAATATTTTTATCGCAAAATATCCCTCGATTTGCTGTGCAAACTTTTCTACCAGATATCTTGCTTCGATGTGTGTTTTTTTCTTACTTTATAATACGGTGCAATATTTTCCCGTGAGTTTTCGTTTCCCAGCTTTGATATGCCTGCGCTTTGCGTTCCCCATTTTTTACGTCCCTGCAGTGCATCGTTTCCCACCCCCCTCGAGTATAATTTTCCCGCAGTGGAAAACAATGACGTATTCCGGGTTATTTTTTGTTTACCGATGTTCACCGTTCCTACGTTGTATTTCACCGTGTTTTATCGGCCCGCTCTCCCCGTATATAGGGCACAGGGCCTTTTGGTAAATAATGGCGAGAAATACTGTAAGCCGCGGCGAAAAAAACAAAAAACAAAAACTCCGCGTATTTTTTCGTTTATTCGGTCGGGGTATAAATACGGTCGAAAATATGAAATATGCGGTTTTGGTTGTATTCGAATTGTTACGTTATAATAATCACTTTTTTTTTCCGCGCTGTCAAACGAACGCGAACAATACGCGAGTTCAAAAGCGCATTCCGCCGTAAAAATTCCGTTTGTCGTACTACCGTAATACACCGTGGGCCGCATAACCCGCGGGCCATTTTATTGTTAGTAATATTTAATTTTAATTTTTTTTTTGGTAAAATCGAATAACTCGGAATTATTAAATCAATCATATCGGCATTGTGATTGTCGCGTCCGTACCTAACCTAACGCGTAACAATCCGTCTGAGAAAAACGAAAAACATAAAATAAAAAAACAACCGCCTCTCTGTCGCAGCCGAGGCTTACGGTCGCGGCGCGCGCTTTACCGTTATGATGTACTGCCGTACAATCGCTTGCACCGACGCAGGTTGCGTGCGGTACATTATTATTATATATACAGATGGTAATCGTGTTCCGGGTTCGCTGTTTCGCGTTATTTATTTATTTTTATTCTTTTCCCCGCGTCCTTTTCCGAAATGGCATAACGTCATTTACGTTCGTTCGTTCGTTCGTTCGTTTGTTTTTTTTTTTTTTCCCGAACGTTCGACGCGCGCCGAGCATAATAAAAACCGTAAAGCGAAAATATCTTATTGAAAACGATCTCGCGCGGCAACCTACCCGTATCGCGCAATTCGCGCACGGTCTAAGATTCTATTACGCCGCCGTATGTACACGCACGCGTACGTATATAAAATATAATACGTGTAGCGCGTACGTTTCGATGCGAAACAATAAAACAGACGCGACCGAGACTACTACGGGCCCCGTACGTTCCGGACGGTATTGGGTGGGAGGGAGGGAGGGGTTCGGGAAACGGAGAAATCGAATCGACTCTCGTTCTCGCCGTCCGGCCGGCGATGCGTGGAAAAACACCGGCGTAACGGCTCGGGCGCCGACGGCTACGCGTAACGCGTACCGAACCCGCGGCGGCCGTCCCCGGCGGATTCCCGTCGCGCCGTTATCGTCGCCTGCCCGGCATGGCCGCCGCGGACCGGCCCGTCGCCGATCGAGCCGCGCAAACGTTTCCCGGGGAGCAATAACGAGTTCCGCGCACCCGTCCGGGAAACGTGTGCGCCGCCGGGCGCGTCGGTGTCGACGGACTTTGCGTCGCAAAGTGTTCCCGCGAACGTTTTCGCGTCACGGCGGTTCCGGGTAACGTAAACGCGAACGCGGGCGATAGGCGCCCGGCCGTCGGGACGCGTAAACGGTTCGTGTCGGCGGCAGTGAAACGCGGACAACGGGCGAGAAAGACGGACGGACGGCAGAGACGATCGAGTCGGGTGAAACGGAGTCAGCCGACGGCATATTTGATGGAAAAGTAACCGGGAAGAAACCGAGAGGACGGACGCCCGGAGGAAACGATATTTCGAACGCATCTGCAAGAGCCCGCGAGACGTCGAATGGAGATACGTGTGGGCTTCGTGTGGGCAAGGCGTAGCGTTCCGATAATTGAGAACGATGAAACGCGAACGAGTGACGGACGACCGGAGGATGTCGTGTCGTTGAGATGTCGCATACCGACACTCGGCGGGGCACGGGAAAGGGGCGAATTTTCGAGAAAAAAAAAATCCCCCGTATCGGGGCCCCGTAAAATTGGCCGAGTCACCGGTATTTTCCGCGACCGCCCCGGACCGGTGGCGCGCGCGGATTCGGATAGCTACCGAAATCGGATAGTCCGCATCGAAACGTAATGGTTACCTGTTATTTGTCGGTCGGTTTATTCCGTAATATCAATCTACGGACAACACACACTCGGGTGGAATACATTTTAAAAGTATCTGAAATACCCGATGAGAGCTGATGACGGGCGTGCCATTGTTATGTTGTTATAATGCGGACAAACCGGAATTCGGCGCTTTCCGAGTAATATTAATGGCCAAGGGAAATAGGGAATATTGAACGAGTTGTTTAAATCGAGTGTCGGACCGTGCGAAAATTTCGCGTCTCAATGGCGCGAAGAAGAATGATGCGAGAAAAATCGGACCATTTTTTACTAACAAAAATACCAGTGTTTTCTGAGAAAAAAAAAATAAAGCTCGTATATTTTAGTAAAACATTAAACGCTCTAAATAGAGAGTGAAAAAAATTATAATTTTTTTTTTTTTTTCTAAACAATAAAAAACATTTTCAAAACCGTTGGGAATACAGTATTGTATACGTGTGAAAACGGGTATTTTTTTAAAATATTCAAAACACTTTGTTCTCGCCCTTGTCTGATGAATAATAATTATTAAAATTGGCAAAAAATTAAGTGCAAACAGCGAGCGCGTACATAAATGTAAATGGAAACATCCCCGGGCACCTTCGGTTTTTTATTTAAATAATTACAGCAGCGAAAAACAAAATAATAATAATAACAAAATCAGTTAATTGGAAATTGTTTTTTTTTTTTAAACGATTAATTTCGCGATTCGTTTTCTTTTTTAAACGTGCACACTTTAATTTGCGATTCTGCTGGTTTGTTTGATTGTGCCTCGTGCATAAACACATACATATGCATACACCTGCGTGGCGAGCGTTGTGCAAATAATACAAATTGCATTCTGTTCGGTTCCGATGTTGAAAAATATTATCATAATAATATTTGTTACGCAGTAAAACAAAAGCAAACAACGGTAACAATCGGAAACGGGCTCAAACAGCGACGGTGCAACGTCGGTGCCGGCGAAGAACGGCCTCAAGTAAATTGCCGGCATTGCGGTAGAGACTGTTCGGCAGTATACCGCGCACAGCAGGCGCGCCGACCGGAGTCGTGAAAAACCGCCACTCGCATCACTTCGTAACCGAATTTGAAAAATCGTGCCCGGTTCGAAATGCCGGCGCGCCGTAGAAAAAAAGGAAAAAAGCAGCAAAGCAATCTTTCTTCCGGGAAATGGCGTTTTTTTTTTCGTAAATCATAATATTATTTTATTCGAACCGTCGCGATAAACTCGGCGCTATACCTGCGGCGGTATTTAATTCGCAACGACGCCCGTCGCTCGTCCGCCGACTCGAGCGCTCGACAAATAACATTATCGCGTTCATCGCGAATTAATCAACAGACGGGATACCGGCGGGATTTGGAAAAAAAAAAACAACAACAACGAAACAAATAAATAAATCTCATATAGGTCCGCCGCGTTTTACGCGTAACCGCGTGTTATAACGAGACCCGCACCCACGCAGTCGATCCAATTATATTTTTTGTTTAACTTTTTTCCCCTTTTTTTAATAACTAATATATAAACGTATATGTCGGTATCGTTTGCCGGGGCCCCGGGGAGTTATTAACAGTGTTATTTTTGTTGTCGGCCGATTTTTTTTCCCCGAGCACTGTGCACTCTCGCCGTCATCGTATATCACACAGGTACACCGGAAACCGATCGGCAATTGAATTTCGTCGGCGCCTATATCATATCGCGCGTTCGTTGTGATGTGCTCCGATCGCGTTTTTTTCTTTTTTTCTACGGAAATCGTAATCTTTGTTCAGCCTGTCGGGAGCGCGTTTGTCGGAACGTACTCTCCAAACAAAAACAAAAAAAAAAAAAAAACCAAACAAATGGGCGATTTTAGAGCACGGGATAACTATGCGTTTATAAATAATAACGCTAACACGGTTATTGAACGGTTCGCGAACCGTTTGGGAATTTCGCGAAAACGTATCGAACAACGTCGGGCGGAAATGTTTGTCTGTACAGCGGGAAAATAATTCGGTCTTTCTCCCTAATCGAAAAACGAAGAAAAATAGCCGATATCGGGGACGGGCGTGTCGCTGTTGTGGTTGGAAATTCGGGGACGTGGGACACATAGGGTTATTGAATTTACGTTTGTAAACCATTGCTGACGAAAAACGATTCAGAGCGAAGTCGTAATAATTAAAAAGGTCGTAATATTGACGATTTTCGTCATAAAATTTGACATTAAAACTTCTATACATAAAAAAAAAAAAAATAATAATAATAATAATAGTAATAGTACATTACATTAAACTTTTTATGATTGTTATTATTATTATTTTTTTTTTTTTTTTTATCGCTTTGTACAATTTAATTAAACTCGTATTATATTTTCAAACATTTCTATTAAATCTAACGGTTTTCGATCCATTGTTCACTTACCAAACAAACGTTTCGTTAAAGAATTGTCTGTTTATCGTTTATAAATAGCTCAAAATCTCCCCAACGGACCGACCGAAAGGCTTTTAGAAAAGTCCGCTCTCGGACAGAAAAAAAGAAAAAAAAAAAGTTATAATAACAAAACGGCCGATCCCGAAATGATAATAACGATGACATTAATAATAATAATAATAACAATAATGTACTCCGAAGCGAAATTGCGAAATTACGGCTTGTCGCGAGTAGTCGTCGTGGCGTATTTTCATCCGGGTGTCCCGAGCGCTATCGTAATGCGAATTCAATGTACGAGTTCCCGAACGGACGCGGGCCCGGGGCTGTTTGTGTACTGGGCCGGTAAGTACGCGCGGCGTACCCGCCGCTCCGGATCCGGAGCGGAAGTTCGACGGCAAAATACAATATTATAACGTATAATTCCCGTTACGCCCCGAAACTTTATACCCGTATTATGTTTCGTATTTTAGCGCGTAAATTTACACAGGTTGTAATGTATAGTTATTATGTTAGTATTATTATTATTACCATCATCTCGTGCGCCGCGAAATATTATAACGGCGTTCGACACGATCGGGGGCGTCGCGTAGGAGGAAGAAGGGGGCTATAGTCCCCCGTGATATCGCAATACCGGGGTTACAAGGAGAATTTGTCAAGATTCCGGTATAACCGTGTACGGTCAGGTATAACTAAAATCGTGCGCCTCCTCTGCCCCCTCCCCTCCCCCCGGTGACATTTTGAAAACCGCGCGCCTATACAATTATGTAGACACGGTTTCGCAGTACAATTGAATAATAAATATTATGCATACAAGTCTACAACTCTACGACATAGGCGCACGTAGGATGGTGCTTAACACCCGCACGCTAACAGTTAGCACCCCCGTAAGTTCCCGTAAGTAATTTATTTCTATAGTCCGCCAATTATTTCTGGATTACCGCGGTCTATTGCTTTGGACGAAATATTAATTTTTTTTTATTCCCATTACAAATAGCGCACGTATTCGCGGAATTATAATATAGCGCGAATTTGCAGTGTCAAATGGAAAACTACATCTTTCACGACATTAGGCAATCGGCATAGATAAATTATTGTTTTTTTTTTTTTTAAAATATTTTTTAATACATAATGAATTATGTAAACGATCTATTCTCGGGTGGGGTGTGAACCATGTGTGTACTATAATGTATTAATTCTAGCGTCCCCGAAATTCACAACCGTGTCAAATTCACACAATGTGTGCTCTACAATATCAACTAAGACGAATCGTTCGGTTCCCATCACCCTCCCCCCCCCCATCCGGTAAGTTAGGCTATACTTAAATGACAATGCATTGCGTGCAATACGATAGGTAAACGATTTAAATGGCACTTACCTGCGCAGCAAACACCGAAACGTCCGTCCGTCGGTCGGTGGAGTTTACAAACGGATAAATGTTTCACGGCGATAACAATATTATAATATACGCATGGGTACGAGCGGTTCGGCAGAGTTAAAAAGTCCGTATAAACCGATGTAAAATGCACGAGACAATGCATATTACATAAGCGGTCGGACCGCGCGGTGCGGCCGAAACGTTAATAGAAAATAATAAAAAAAAAAAAATTAGGAAAAATACCCGGCGGTCAAAGCTAATACAGGCGCCGATTAAAATTTTAGTCGACGACGAAAAACGGAAACAAACCATACCTGTACTATAACCCGAGTTTTCGAAGTCAAATTCGACATTAGCGTTTTGATTTCCCCCGTCGGAAGGAGAGTACGGGGGCATTAGTACGGTGTCGCCGTCGGAATGTGCATAAAAACGAATAACTCGATTAGAAACAATAATGTCAATTTCGACATATTCTTCCGGCGCGTCCGTAAATGAATTAAAACTCGATAATCGAATTCAGTTCGTTAATACCCGGGGAAATATGATTACGGTGTAATTTTCACGGATATCGCATAAACACGAATACGTTTGGAGTTTAATAAAACCGGAAAACAATATTGTGTACGAGACTCCTCGGGCATGACCGGGAGGCTTAGTTTTAATCTTATTTCTTTTCTCTCTGTTTCGAAAAGGCCGAAGTGAAATAATACCGAATAGTATTTTGGTCGGTCGAAAAGGGGCGAAATTCTCCCGCTTGATGAAACGGGTGCGCAGCAAGCTGCAGTGTTCACGTTCGTTATGCGACGTGGCACTAACGAGTGTCCGCCCCGTTTACTTTCATTCCCCTCTCTTTCTTCTTCTACGTCTTAACAGTATTGCCAGAGACAGTATTTCACTATCGCGTTCGGCCCTCGTGCCCATTACGGTGCGTACAAGACGATTAAAGAACCGCGGAGATAGGTACGATGATATTTCCCGACGTGTAAATTTGATTCCCCTCCGCTCCTTCGCCCGGGTATTTTTATAGGAATCGTTTCGACGATAATATCGTTTTCGTCCGCAGACAAAAACTGTTGTTAAAACGCAGAAACAAACGGATAAACTACCGTACACCGTAAAAAATATATGTACGCTCGGTGGGACGGCGTTTGTTCCCCGCTATTGAACGCGCGGTCAGTTCGTTTTTTTTTTTCCGTATTTACATTTCCCCTTTAAACATTCGCGCGAATTCGTATTTCGACGTTTTATTGTCGCCGGCGTAGAAAAAAAAAAAAGTGACGAGACACGTTCACCGGTGAAACACGATTGCTGACGGTTCTTATCTGGACGACCTTTTTAATAACACGATTGCGGACAAATGTTGCCGAATGTATAAATGAAATTTCGATAATGTGGGAAGTTTGAACTTATTTAATGTAGTATTTCTGTTAAACACTGCAGTATTATAGTGTGCGTGTCTTATGCAGTCCGTGCAGTTTTATAAAACTGTTTATAAAAAGTTTTATTGAAATTGAAATTATTCTATCGGAACGCAGTAAAGATGATTTAGTTTTACACAATAGAAATAAATATCGATATAGTCGACGGCGGAAAGGTGGAAATATAAAATCGTTATGTAATAAATAATGACCGCAGTGCGAGTATTTTAACGACATCAGACCAAAAGAGTCTATCCTCGAATTTTCAGATGAGCATATCTGCGCTAATAACTCGGTACGAAAAATCGAGCGGCAGATATATTAAGGGAAAACTGCAAAAGAAAACGCGAAGAAAACTTATCTACTAACCCGTTAAAAATAATAAAAACCAGAACTATTAAACAATTAACTAACAGAGATAGTTAAAGTAGATATCAAAACTGTGACGAAAACCGTGTATGAAAAGAGACGAAAACATTACCAAACGTTTCCAAAAGCATTAGATGAGTTGCAACAGTTAATCAGCTTAAAAATTTGCATATTGATGATTTTTTTTTCAATTTCAAGGTAATCAATTCGTCCATGTTCACAAGGACAAAAATATTATTTGCTTAACAGCTATGTCAAATATAATTTACTAAAAGAGAACACAGAGTGCTTTGCCGATAAAATAATGTCTTTTGTCGTCAGTGATCATCCGTAATCGTGTTGCGAAAAAGGTAAAGCGTCCGCAATCCTGTTTCACCCACGGTCACTTATCGCGCAAGAGAATTTCATCGGAAGTATCGCGGCGTAATACCGGGCGATCCGTTTAAGTGAAAACCACTCGTTATAATATTATCTCGGAAGTTTTGAAGTCTCTTCAACAGACATTTTTTCACGGTTTAAAAAACGAGCAACGCTAAACGATTGCCCCGCCGTTATATTCTGTCGACAATATTTGTTGTCGTTTTTAATTCGAGGGCGAAACGATTACCTACTTTTGATTTCCATACATGACAACTTATGCGGAAAAAAAAAAAAAAAAGGCCATGAATTTAATTTGGAGTACATGTTAAAATATAAATGCAAACTCTGGCGTTGACGCTTTCGATTTCCGTCGACGAGACATTCCGCTTTTGCGACTAGGTACGGGGAGAGTAGCGGGTCATTATTAAAATGCCGCCGCCGTGCAGCCGCACAAACGACGCTCATCCTCTACTCTCCCCTATACTCGAGCTTAAATGCGGAATATCTCGTAAACGATTTAACCGAAAAATTCAACACGGAAATGTATTTGAAATAACACTCTGTTTCTCGGTGGAATTCGCAATGTATGGTTTGCCATTTGAAAATCAGATTAGACCGACACAAATTACGGTAACGCGGAATTTCAGAGGTGCTTTTATCTTGAAAATTGCCCGACACGCAGAATTTCCCGTCTTATTTTAGCCTCTTTTCGATAAAAATACAATTTTTATCAATATGTTTTGTTTTATTATTATTTCAAAAAATAATGTAATTTTCCAAGCCCGCCGTGTTAGACATAGAAACAATTGTCTACGAACATTTTGGTACATTCATGACGGTTTCGTTAAAATATATTCCGAACGAAATGAAAAAACAGACTAAAATCCGTGCGAAACACGGGGAAAACTGCGTGACAGAACACGTCGCGAATTACAAGCGCGTCGATATTCCCAGTGAAAATCTCTTGCGCGCGGATGTGTACGCGCGTGTGTAGCTCAACTCTCGTCTCCCAGCACTTCTGACGACAATAAAACGTCCGTAATGTCTTACGCGTCAAAATCATGCGAAAATGCGCGAACGTTTTGTGACGTTTCAATTCGAGCGAGGAATTTTCCCGATTAAAAAAAAAAACACACACACACCGTGGCCCGAAAATCTGACAACCTTGGTGTCGTGGTGGGTTATTCGGGTTTTTTCCTCCCCTTATAATAATTTCTTTAGCCTCGAGCTACACGATGATAACTCGACTTTAAGGATAAAAAATTGTTTTTTCACAAAATCCTGGACAGCCATTTCGGAAACACGTATTGCAACGAAATGTTACGGCGTTACGTACCAATATAACGGCGGACCGTCGAATTTCCATCGCTTTGCGAAGTTTACAAAAAGAACTATAAAGTAATTATTATTCTTCGCGGAAAAATTTGCGAACCGATTAATATCATTTTAATAGAGTGGCGGTGAAATAAATTTTGACTGTCGTACATTTCAGAAGATTTCAGAAAGTGTACGACAGTTAAATTTTTTCGAATCGCCACAAATAATTAATAATATCAATCGATTTACGTCAATTGGTGAAAAATATTTTCGTACAAGATTTTGGTAAACTTCGAAATGCATTGAGAAACTCAACGATTTGTTAGTAAATTCGTAACGTTGAAATTGTGTTCGTAAAACGGTTGTCGTGGATTTAAAAAAAAAAAAAACAATTTTTTTTTTTGATTATTTTAAAAAAAATACGAAACTGAAGGATTGCGACTCGGAAATTTATTGCGAGTAAAACGGGGGAAAAAAAAATCAAAAAAATAACCAACGAAAGTCAATCCGGGTGTCAGATTTTTTCGTAACGACCGGCGTACGTTCGTTTCGCGGACTCGCGAATATTCCAAGAGCGAAAAAAAAAGCCCGAAATGGAAATAATATAAAAAAAAAAAAAAAACGCTAAAACAATCGTTGAAAAACGAAATTTTAAGTGTTTGACGAATATTATCGTTTTTTTTTTTTTCAAATCGAAGTTGAAAAATATTCGAGTAACTTTGGTGCGACAAATTTGTGACTCGGAAAGTTATTGCGAGAAAAACGGGGGAAAAAAAAAAAAAAAAAAAAAAAAAAAACGCTAAAACAATCGTTGAAAAACGAAATTTTAAGTGTTTGACGAATATTATCGTTTTTTTTTTTTTTCAAATCGAAGTTGAAAAATATTCGAGAACTTTGGTGCGACAAATTTGTGACTCGGAAAGTTATTGCGAGAAAAACGGAAAAAAAAAAGAATCAAAAAAATACCCAACGAAAGTCAATCCGGGTGTCGAATTTTTACGTAACGATCGGCGTACGTTCGTTTCGCGGACTCGCGAATATTCCAAGAGCGAAAAAAAAATCGCTCGAAATGGAAATAATATAAAAAAAAAAAAAAAAAAAAAAACGCTAAAAAAATCGTCGAAAAACGAAACTCTAAGTGTTTGACGAATATTATAGTTTTTTTTTTTTTTCAAATCGAAGTTGAAAAATATTGAGTAATTTTGGTGCGACAAATTTTCCGAAAATCGACACAGACGACAATGGGCCTTTATTTTTTTCCGACATTAAGCCTCTATAATACGGAACGAGAGCGAAATTTCGAAAATAAAAAAATAGAACCTCCCGTACCGTATTATAGGCGTGGAAAAACACCGGAAATCGAAATTTACTGCAGAAACCGCCGCGAAAAGACAAGCCGGCAATTAATCACGCGGACTTAGTCAAAACACAGAAGGAGATTGAAAAAAAATTAAATAAACCGATTCGATTAAACGTGTAAAGATAATTACGGTCGGAATCTAAACGAAAAAAACACACACATAAAAAAAAAAAAAATTGATCCCCGAACAAAACGCGTTCGGACAATATAATATTGCGGGGCACTGGATTTATAATTTTTCGTTTTGCCGTACGTAATAATAATAATGTATTTTTTTTTTTTTTTTTTAACGGGGAACCGTTGGGAAATTCAGAATTCGAAAAAAAAAAAGTTTCGAATGTCGAGTGTATCGGGGTCGGAAATTCCGCGTCTTTCGGCCGAGATACTGCGTGAGAAATCCCGGAACATTCGCCCGAGTCGAAAAAAATGGTTTTCGGAAAAAATAAAAAAAAAGACATTTCCGCAGATGAAAAAAAAAACGGCAACTCGGTGATAGCGTCGGAAATTTCGAAAAACGTTTCTCGGACGATTGCGTCGCGGAAAAATTGGAGTAATTTTTTTTTTGTTTTTTTTACCGACCAGAAGAGCGAATTACGGAGGAAAAATCGTTGGGTAACCGAAAAAAAAAATAAAAAGCGGGATTATCGTCGAAAAGTTCGAACAGTCAAAAATCCTAAAAAAAAAAACTACACAATCGAGCGCGCGTAAAATTAATAAAGTTCACCTGTAAAAAAAAAAACAATCACGGTATACTTACGATATTCGTCGTCCCTGTAATAAAAATGTTTTCGCAGTACCTTACACCGAACGAACAATATAAAAAAAAAAAAAGGTTTTTCTTTTTTTTTCTCGCGCGGTTTGTCATGTGTCCGGACGGAAAATAATCGACGTCGGTTTTGAAAATCGCTTATAAACTAAAAAAATATATATATATTTTTTTTTTTTTTTAGTGTACCGAAATAACCATTGTACTCGCGCCGATTTCAAACAACATTTACGAAATGTAATTTAAACTACAATTGTCGATTTTTTTTTTTTTTTGTTTTTTAAACGAATATTTTCGTCGATTTTTTTCCGTGGTTACTCGTTTAATTTGCACGAGTGAATCGAAATATTTTTATTTTTTTTTTTTTTTAATTATTCGTAAAACTAACAAGAAAAAAAACATCTCCGGTATTATTACTATTGTCAACAATATCGGAAATTGTTTTTTTTTTTCCAATTTAAAAGTTCGAATTCTTTTTTCCTAACAATATTATTTCAATATTGAACTAATTATTGTTTTAAAAAAAAATTATGTTTTCCGTTGAACGTTTCGTTACGGAATTTATGAATATCGGCTACAATATAAGTACATAATACAATAATATTTATTATATTATATATTTTATTTTTTATTCGCGTCATATTATTAACGCCGATAAAACACCTAAAAAAAACTCTCGTAAACAGCGATTAACGTTATTTCAACGCCGAAGTTTTTTTTTTTTTTTTTTTTTCTATCATTCTTCGAAATTAATAAAAAATATTATTATTATACTACAATATGTTGTACCGTAGAGTATTCTTAAAACTATAATATAATTAAATAATATTATAAGTTAGTGTCGAATGTTATTATAATAATAAACGCGGAATATTCGACGCGAGAATTATGCGAATTTTCAAATAACCTAAGACCTGAAAAAAAAAAAAAAAAATGTGACCTAGTCGCCTGAAAAATAATGCCTACCAAAACTGTCGCGGCGATATTAAATAATATAATCGTGTAAAAATTAAATCTAACATGCTTACCAAGACGAAGCGGAATCCCCTATGCTGAAAAAATACCTAACTCCTATAATAAAGGTGATAGTAAAATTAAACTCGTAAAAACCGGACAAGTCGGCTTTGAACGCGCGTTCGGTAAAGTCGAACGGGCGAATAACCCGAAAGGGGGGAGCCTCGGGGAGGGGCTGGTGTAAGAACACCGGCCGGAAATTCGCGAGAATGCGTTCGGACAAGTTAATGTGCCGTGGTGAAGAGTCGAGAGAGCGAAGTCGAGCTGCACGTCTGCACCGTCGGGCTGGTTGGAATCCAATGGTTTGGCGTCCGCGGGCTCTTGTACGACGCGAAACGGAAACCCGAGCGCGCAAAAAAAAAAAACAATTCTCGGAGGGCCGACTCTTTCTCCGGACTCGATTGAACGTTATATCCAGTTCATACGGTGATAAATGTAATTGTATTGTGCATTGTGTATCGATCGTTATAAACGAGTAAAAAACGTTAAGTATGCGTGTACGTGCCTACATATAGTTCAGATACTGAGTGGCGCGGCAGGAATATGACCTATCGGTTTTTACAACGGTGTTAATTTTTTTATCCGCTAAAAACTTTTCTACCGGAAATCCAGCTCCGATTTTCGAGCGTAGCTTTTTTTCTAAAACGAAATTTTCCAAGGGCGGTACTTTAGAGAAGTCGTTTTTTTGATTTCCCCGGGGGTTTTCGTAATAAATAGAAGAAACCCGGGAAAACGGGGAAATTGACGAAATGTATTATTTTCAAATCGTATAAATATGACGGTCTTTCAACACACGTATTACCGTGAACTCGGAATAGGTTTTCTTTACCAACAATTACCCGTTGCTTACAGATATACATTAAATTTCCCCGCTACCTTCACGGAAACTTTTCACCTACAACAGTGGCCCACCCATCGTGCGAAGTTTATCCTTTTTTTTTTTTTTTAACGTGAGCGACGACCTTGTTTATGTTCACAGGGTACATCAATATTAAAGGTTCTAATTCGTTTGAATTTACCCGTTGACGGTGTACAACCATAAGATCTTAACACGTGGACGTGTCTGATTAACGGCGTAATAATTTATGATAGAATATGGGAAAATATTAGTTTATAACAGATTTTGCAAACGTTACATTTTTAGCAAGCGCGAATTAAATTTATATTCAATTTTGATTTGATACTCTGGCCATTGGCGCACCTACGGGGGGTGCCAGTGGGTGCTTGGCACCCCTAAATCCTAAATCAGCACCCCCAGACTTTGAGCTGAATAAAATAAATGTAATATTAAAATTTTACTCAGACATGAGTACCTGAGATGTGAGTGGTGTGGTATACCGCACTATTGTGTATAATATTAAAAAGTATTTATATTTTATATTGTGTAAGGTAATTATGTTAATTGTTTTCATATTTTAAAGGAGGTGCCTATCCCGTGTTGATTAGTTTTGTTGGACAACGAAAGATTCATTATTTCAATTTTGTTTATTTAATGTGTAGATAATACCATATTCTTAGAATCGTTAATCGTATTATAAATTGTATTTGTTTCAGTAAATATAGCTAAAATATTCAACACGTTCTAACAATATTGCGAAAATACTTTTTTTAGACTCTCAGTGAAGCGAGGAAGGTCTTTTTTATATGATGCCCGTAAATTACTTTTCTACCAGAAATTTTAGTTCGTCAAGCATTTTCTTGTAGTATTTACAATCTATACGGTTTATCGGCAATGCCAATTTTTCGATTTTCCTTGTGGTTTTCAAAATAAATCGGAAAAACTGGCGATGTTTGTCGATTTCTGGGTTACCCGGGCAATAGGAATAGTCAGAGGAAAAGTTCGAACGTTACCAGCGATTTGTTTCGATAATTGCATTTTAATTTGTTTTCATAATTGATGCAGCATCTATTTCCCTATATAATACCAGTATAATCAATACAAACGGATGTGAAATAACTCACCAAAGCAAGTTTTTACTTACAAAAAAAAAAAAAAAAACTGACGGGAACCCTACTGATTACACGCGACGAGAGCCGTTGAAGACGGTTGACGTGCCTATAAAAATACGAACGGAACATTACGCACAAATTAAAAAACGCGACATTTTATACGGGCGGGTTAATCCGTCGTTTTGTTTCGCCGTAATGTTGCGACAATTTCACAGTGTTATCATATCGTAGCGTTGAGTACGGGTACCACCTACCGGGTACGCCATTATACACGTACGGGTGACAGTTGCGAAGCCGGGATTTCTCAACGGAGGGGCCGACAAAAAACAAAACCCGAACGAATATATCCGAAACTACGCGTTTATTCGTCACGTTTGAAACTACGGGTAGTACTGTACTTCGATCGGTAAAATATGAAAATAATTTGACGGTTTATAACGAAAATACGCAGAAAAAAACTACAATCATCGGAGGGGTCCCCGTGGCCTTCCTCTGGCTACTTCGCTGCGGGGCGATATTGTTATGTTATCGCAATACGAATATTGCGGCGACACCCAGGCGTCGAGTTTGCCGGCGAACAAGCGATCGGAATGACACAATTTTAGGGGCGTCAAATTCGTCAACCGCGTGTACATAAAAGACTACGAGCCACTGTGTTTTAGATCGAAAGTTGGGAGTGTAGGATCCGTAAGCGTAATTAATTTTTATCTGTAAGCAACGATAAAACGTTACTAACAAAAAACGATTTTGAGCGAAGTTCGTTTATACACGATTTGAAAGGTTATGATATTTACGAACCTAACCAAAAAAAAAAAAAAAAACGGGAAAATATTAGACATTTAGGTATAAGTTGAAATATATTACGATCTTCATTTTTTCCGTGAACAACTTTTCTATCAGCAATTTTGTTCCAACTTTTAACGGTAGTGATTTTTCTAGAAGGAAATTTCAATGGGAAGGTACATTAAAGAGGATTTTTTCGATTTTCTTAGGAGTTTTCCCAGCACATGTGAAAAACGGAGGGAAAACATGGGAAAACCGAGAAAAACGTAAGAAAATTGAGAAAATCAATACAACATGAAACAAATATTATTAAAGAAAATATATAAAGCCTATTTAATTATTTTACTATAAAATGACATATACTGTTGACATAGCATCACTATCAACTGAACTCCGCTCAGAATCGTTTCTTCGTAAACAATGGTTTATCGTTGCTTACAAGTATACTTCAAATTATCTATAACAGTGACTGTGCCCGTCCCCATTATCCTAGGATGTATTTATTTTTTTTTTTTGTGATAAAAGTCTCGTATGTATTAAAAATGGTATAAATTTACAATATTACTTAAATGTTACGATTGTGTTACGGTAATGTTGTTAATATATCTTATGTAATTATATTAATATGTTGTTAAACAGTTGAGTTACAAGTCAAATTAAATAAATGCGAACTGCCAAAATGTGTGTTTTGTTATTATTTACCCGAAAAATATGTCAAAATATCATAAAGAGGTTTTATCAATATCTAAGTATATACTTGAAAACACATTAAGTGGATGTCGAACGTCTCTAGCTGTCTATCAATCAGGCGATATGCCAAAAAAATGTTTTTGTACTTCCAATAGTACACAGACTGCATTGGTCGTATAAACTCAATTTCGGTGCCAAAATAAACATTAGAATTTGTACTAAATGTATATAGAATAGTTTATTTTTTTTCAAACCGATTATATTTGTATTTTAAACATCATTTGGAAAATTCATATAAATCGGTAGATTATTATTTCAAAAAAAAAAAAAAACGGCTCTAAAGACATTTATTAAATTTGTTTGTGTTTATTTCGGCACCAAAAGTAATTTTACAGGACCACCGAGACCTGGGTACTGTTGGAAATATGAAAACACACATCTGTTTTTTTTTTAAATATATTATTTTAAACCATTACATATTACATCAAACAATTCATAGAAGGAAAAATCGGATCCCCACCGCAAAGGTCGAGACAGAGGCGAGTAGACAGAGTTAGCAGTGATCTGAAAACGCAGAGAGCGATCTGAAACTATAATAATAAACGGTAGTATAACATCCAACACTGTACGTTATACCCGTACGGCTGTGCCATTAACGTGTAGACAAATATTCTCTTTTCGATTGCTATAATTCGAAAACATAGTGTTAAAAATATCATTATGCTAAACGATACTATACATATTGATATAATGTCTAAACTAGACCTATACCCAAAATAAAATTTACCTTGGTGTTTGCCGTTTTCTAAATAACTGTTCATTTATCTTTTATTTTACCTTTAAACAGATACATTTCAAAATATTCTATTATACATAAATATTTATATAATTACACGATATTATTTGTATTTCAATTATTATTTTTGTTTTATTTTATGAAAATAATTAAAATTATTGTCCAAAGGAAAATGTCTTGTTTTATTTTTTTCTCTTTTAAATAGTTAATACGATCGTTCAATGATGGTACAGATGGGTATATCAACGAGTTAATAAACAAGTCATGTTGCGCAATTCGGTTTATTTCGAACCCTAAACTTTAGTAGTTTCTTTTTCTTCTTCAGAAACTTATTCATTTAACTTAACAATAACTGTATACTGTAATCAAATTGCAAGTATCTAACAATGATAAAGTCTAACAACCGAAATAAGTTTAATTTTAATGTTTTAACCTGACTAGCTAACACAGAAGAAAATTAAACTAACTTTGTACAATTAACTTTTAATTGTTTTTAATTGACTTTAGAAAGAACGCACATTTTCCGGGTCAGCTTTAGCTGTGTTTCGGGACTTTTTTTTGTTTTACCTTTATTTAGATAACTGTAGATGAGTCGTGGCCGGGCGTGTTATTTTCGATGTCGATATCGGCGAATTCCAATCCGATCCAATCCATTTCACTGCAAGTCAGTTGCGGTTTTATCTAAACGATTTATCGCAGATATAATTGTATTATATTTTATTATTCATAATGCGCGACATTTAAAATGGAGTCTAAGATAAAATATAACTACGGACGATAAGCGTCAACAGTTCCGACGCAAAATATTACACTGTTATTCCGTTAGTTTATGGTATTACTCGTGACTCGATAACTACAATTAATTCCATTTACGTGAGTTATTAAATTTTATAAAAGTTCACGAAGTTTGTTTATAATGAAAAATCAAAGTCACTTTTCGTCTAAAAAGGCTTTTTAAAACGTTCGCCTTCAAATATAATAGTGGACTGTAACGCTGCTCACAATAGAACTCACAATAAATTCCTAAATATAAGCAAATATTTAACAACACGCTAAGTAAATAATTTTATAA